AATCCCGCTGATTATACGTTTGTTTTCGAACCATCCGGCGTTGTAATTAAACCCTCATACTCGATCTTAAATGGTGGTACTTCTGCTTGGAGGTTGGAGCGCAAAGATGTGAGATTGTCGCCTGGTCCTGGCACAGATATCTCTAAAGATAAATTGGTTGTGAAAAGGGGTGCTAATATCATCGGCTCGGCTCCTGTTAATATCGTGTAAATTTATTTTGTGAAATGCAATTTTTTGTATTTTGTGTAAAGTGATGGGTAATAATCGGGCAATTTAATAATTTTGTAAATAAATCTTTTAAATAAATCTTTTAATAAAAATCAAGTATTGAATTGCATTTTTATTCATACATGCTCCATGTAAGCAAAGTTTAATTTGTTATCGTTATGATGTTGCAGTTGATCTCAATGACAAAACATTTTCAGTCCATTCTAGTATAAATATCAATATAATTAATTTTGATAGCTTATGTTGGATGAATTACCAAGCGTCGCGACTGTGATAGCTTCACAATTAGAGGTAATAAAGGATCGTTAAATCCTCGATCTGTTAAAGATTTGTACATACTAATGTTCATATGTTTTTTAACTGAAAGTGAATTTTGATTTAATTTTATGTATTTATCATAATAATACTAAATGTTCACCAGTAAAATTTATCTTTTCAGAGTGCCAATGGACATGGAATTTGATGATTTTCGATTATTGGACTGTAAATAATTTTTTGGCTCACTCTAGGTGTCTTTTTAGGATATTTCAACAACACTTAAAAAGGATAAATTTATTTTTCACTTTGGATACCATTTTTTTATTAGATAAGAAAACTTGGTATACTTGAAATTTGACTTAAATTTACACAAATGTGTAGATAATATTAACTGTTTGCATATTATAATATTATGAATCACTAATTTTGTGAAATATAAAGTATTCAAAGTCTTATTAGAATTTATTGTCCAAAAATAAAGCTTTAAAAATTAGCTTTCAAGTAAATTTTATTTTTTTTAAAATATATATACATATTGTTATACAATTAAATATTTTTATAATTATTATTCTCAAAAAGCAAAATCAGATAACTATAGAAAGAATATAACTATAAAGCAAATATAAATGTAATTATAGAATATATAATATTTTTTTATTATCTTTATATATAAATAAAAAAGTAAACTAAGATAATTATAAAATAATATAATTATAAATAAATATCATTTGTGACATAATTATCTGGAATTTAGTTATATATAAAAATTCATCAAATTTTACTTTATTTATTTAAAATTTATAATATAGATAACTTATAATATAAAGAATATATAACTTGGTTTTTAATATTATATAGTGTAATTATTATTATTTATAACTTTATTAATCTAATTTAATATAATATTTACTAGATTAAAAAATAAACTTTGATCAAAACTCTTTTATTCACTTTGAATTATTTCTTGAAAATTGATAATAGTAATAATAAGTATTTTTTTCTCTATGGTGCATAAAATCTAAAGTCATCAAACGTTGTATTTTACAAAATGTATAAACTTCTTTACTAAGAAGTAAATAC